CGTCTCTCTCTCTCTCTCTCTCTCTCTCTCTCTCTCTCTTCTCTCTCTCTTTCTCTCTCGTAGTGCATTTATGTATATATGTAGCCATACAGCTGTGCTTGCACAGGCATGAATGTGAAACCTTGGTGTAAGGATGAGAGCACTTAGTGGTAGCAGAACCTGAGCTCTCTCTCTCTCGATCGACTTGTATCTTACCTTTGTATTTGCACATGCATATTCAGGAACACCATGCATACCAAAAACCAAGACTATTGTTTCTTGCTAACCCAACTTTCTTTATGCGTATGTGTGTTTATGCGTACGTGTGTTTGTGTGAATAAGCAGGCATTTATGCTGAAAAGAACTGCTGAGGAGCCTCTTGGCCATGCTGCCGCCATTATCGCCGATGTTCTCGAGAATGCAGAGAGTAATCGCATCATTACCCCCTCACAGAAAAGGGCCCTTCTCCAGGAGATGGCCCTGCGCCTCTCTTAAGAATTCCAACCAGCAACCACAGTTCCATGTGATATCAATCATTATCTCATCATCTCTCTACAATGCCTGAGGCATCTCTCTCTCTCTCTTTCTCTCTCCCCATGGTCTTTATTGTAGTTGTTTTGTAATATATTGTGATCATATTATATATGCAGAGTTACATTCATATGCGATGTAAGTTTTGCTGGTGGTATTATATCGCATGTTCCTGTGTCTATTTCTTCTCAGATTTGTGGGAAAAGATAGGAAGTTGTTTGGACCATACAAAGCATTTTCCCATAATTTGTAAATACATAACGATATATGTCCATGAATGGATTTAGACCATCTCCCTCTCTCTCTCTGGAAGAATGGAGTAAACGGTCTCTCTCCGCCCCTCGGGAAGAACGATGTAAAAACTCTCCTGTGTGTTTGTCCATGAATGGATTTAGACCATCTCCCTCTCTGTCATTCTCTGTGGAAGAATAAACTCTCTCACCCCCTCTGGAAAAATGATGTGAATCTCTCTCTCTCTCTCTCTCTCTCCCTCTTTGTCATTCTCTCTCTGCGGAAGAATAAACTCTCAACCCTTCTGGAAAAAATGATGTGAATCTCTCTCTCTCTCTCTTTCCATGAATGGACTTAGACCATCTCCCTCTGCTCTCTCTTTCTGAAGGAAAAAAGCCCATCTCCCTCTACTCTCTCTTTCTGAAGGAAAAAAGCCCATCTCCCTCTACTCTCTCTTTCTGAAGGAAAAAAGCCCAGCTCCCTCTACTCTCTCTTTCAGAAGGAAAAAAGCTCACACCCCCTCAGAAAGAATGATGTAGGCTCTTTCTCACATTCATTCTCATGAAAATGAAGGTATTCTCTCTCTCTCTCATTCATTTTCATGAAAATGAAGGCATTAATGCACACATGACACATTTGGAATTGGAAGTTTGAATCTTTCAATTGTATAGTCTATATATTGACAAAAGAACAGATAAAAAGAAGTCATATGGGAAGGCCACATTATTACACCAGGGGAAAAGATGTGTAGTACTTACATTCTATACTGCTTCAATGACTAGTGGGTTTGATTCCCTCTCTTGCCCGAGAGAGGCCAACATCAAGAGAAAGAGAGAGCGCCAGCAACTGGAGAGAGAGAGAGAGAGAGAGAGACCAACATCATCAAGAGAGAGATACAGGGTCACCAACCGATGTCATGGTGAGGGGGAGTCACCTACCGACATTGAGAGAGAGAGGCACCATGTTCAAATGTCGAACGTTCGAAACAGAGCCCCCAATCAATGGCGTTGAGAGCTCAAGGAGAGAGAGAGACCCGCCAATGTCATCTAGAGCTTAGAGAGAGAGAGAGTTTGTCACACCCACCCAGTCATCGAGAGCTCTTAAAAAGCTTCTTCCATAGCCTGGGCCACAACCCTTGAGCCTTCTCACCAACCTGACTCACGCTTTTCTCACTCCTAGCCATCTTATATGTAACTTGCTTTCTTGCCTTGCCTTGCCTCCCATACAAAAAGCCCATGCACCTGGTGTATGAAGTGAAAGTTGACTTTCCATGAGGCATGTAAGGATATGGAGAGGCCAAACCTTGAGCTCTCCTCAGTGCTCTATTCAGCTCATTGCTCACAGCTTTGAGCTCATATGAATCAAAAAGCACACTCTCATGGCCATTGCGGCCGAACTTTAGCTTAGGAGTCGAGGCAGGGATCTCAGCCCTTTCCATGTGAGAGAAAATGCCTTGCAATGGTTTTCAGGAATTGATTGTAATGCTCTAAGTCGTTGTTTGCATGGTTTATGTATCATTCGGAGTTAAAAAACTCATTTTTGTACTTCGCTAGCGATCAACCAAGACCTGTTTCTAATTTTCTTCAGAGAGATACGATCAAATTGGAATTATATATAGAAGATTAACATGAAGTTTTGGATCATAAGATAATTGATTTTGACCTGGGAATCATCAAAAGTTAGAGAGATCATTGATGAGAGAGGTCTTTTCTTAAAGAAAGGATGAGAGCATGGGAAGCAACGATCTTGAAAGCGTTACAAGAAAGAGCCTTTAATATCTACGCCCCGACATTATTATATGAGCATGTATTACTATGCTCCCAATGGAGCAAAAATGGCAAATCTTAATTAAGGGCTGTCTAAATTTGATATTTTGGGATCCACTTTAGAATCATTAGACGAGTATTTTTTTTTTTTTCGAAACAAAAATTAGAGTTCTTACCCAAAAAAGGAGTACTTAAACATGTTGATCAAGCTATGCAAAATTCATACTGCCAATGTGTAGTCCTTGAGCATGGCATTTTATGTTGATCCAAAGTGCATGTTCAGGGTTTTTTTTTTTTTCTTCTCTCAAGTTGGATGCTAGATCTAGCAGGCGAGGTCTTCAGATTTTTGAGCCTTGAAATTACTCTCAGCTAGGGTTTTGCTCGAGGGAGAAAAAGTATGTGTATGAAATATATATAGTGCATGAAATATATATAGTGAGACCATTTATGTTTGATACAAGGTGGTCTCTTTTTTCTTTCTGTTTGGCTTTTTCCGTTTTTTTTTTCCCTTCTTATTCTCTCTCGCTTCTTTTTAGTTTTTTTTTTTTTTTTTTGTCCCTTTTCTCTTTGCTCTTCCTTCCTCTCTTTTTCTCCCTTTCCTCCTTTTGTCGTCTTAGGTTCTCTCTCTACTTCATTCTTTCCCTTCCTTCTTTCCTTTCTTCCTATCTCTTTAGGAGGCCCCTTTCTTTTCGGTTCTCATGGAGAGAGAGAACTTAGGCGATAGGGTTGGGGTTCTCTCCACTCCTTTCACTTCCATCCTCTGTCATTTGCCATCTTTTCTACCCTTTGTCTTCGTCATGACTTCTGCCTCTCTTTACCTATCTCTATATTCATCATCTCTCATCTTCGCTAATTAGGTTAACGTCTAAGATGAGATGACACATTGGGATTCGTTAGCTTGTCTTGGGTTGTTTTGAGTTCTTTAGGGTTACCTAAAGAGACTGAAAAATCCATATATGAGGCTACTTAAAGTTAACACATAAGATGGGGTTCATTCCTTGAAAACTATGTCGCAAAGGTTGGAGCTCCTCTTTAAGGCTTCAATTGTCGGGTTTTGTAGCCAGGTACAATATTTTGGTTTCGATTTTCCTCACCATTTCTCCTTGTTGCTTCTTGGTCCTCTCATGCCCTTTACTCCAACTTTTTTTTCTTTATCCTCCTTTCATGTTCTTTTCCTTCTATTAGGAGAAAATTGAAGTGGAGGTGCTCACTGGGGACTACTTCTTGTGAAACTGTTGATGGGAAGCGATATCATGAGAAGATGAGGCTATTGTGAGTTGCATTTTGGTGTATTAATTGGGTTTTTGGGCAGTTTTTGGTGTAGGATATTATTGTGTTTCAAGAGTTAGGATAGGTCAGTATTGGATTTAGGGAGTACTCCTCCCTATTTCTTCATCTTGTATTATTTTAATTCGAGAAATGTGTCAAAATAAAATTTCTTGAATATTTTGACACACTTAAATTCATTGGATTTCACATCCAATGGCTAAATATGATTGTGACGTTATATTAATAGTAAATGGCCTCTCATAGTTTGAAGTCCCTTGCTATTTAATTTTTTTCAAATATTTTGAAGTCCCTTCCTTTTATTTTTCTACCTAACTTCTCATTCTTGAAATGTCTATGTGTAGAGATCTTCATGATTCGTTGCATCAATCGTATGATAAAATTGTCAAGAACAATCGCATCTATACTTAAAAATGTCTTTTATGTTTTATCCAAAAAAATCATTTATTATGAAGAAGAAAATGTGAGTGACAATAAAGAAAATTTAATTAAAAAAATAACGAGTGGCTCGATATGTTAAATACGCCTACAAAAAAACTAGATTTACAGAAATATGTAATTTTATAATCACGTAAAATGCATAAAGAACCACGTATGTAGACATAGATAGATTTTGCTAGGCAAGAAATTTCTTTATTTCAATAGATTAAAAGAACCCAAACATCATTAATGGATAGATAGGGCGCGTTCGAGTTTTCCTGAGTTGTGTGTACAAATAATGTGGTATTGATCTATAAATTTTTTGGGTATGATTTATATTTTTGGGAAAGATTGTTCAGTGTTTATGGCAATAAATATCTATGTTTACAATTTTTAGATTTTTAAAATTTTAAATTCCTTTTTTCTAGTACTTTTTAAAGCTTATTTGGACTCCTTAACGTTGTTTTTTGTTTTTTTAATACATTTTTTATTTTTAAAATTTTTTTAGTTTCAATTTATTGAGGACTCTACCAACTAACTCGCCTCGGTCAGGGGGTGAGGCGAATCCTGGCAAACTGATATAACATATAGGGGCGAGGCGAGTCCCGACAGACTGATATATACATAAAAGGATTTTTTTTTCTTTTTTTTTTTTTAACGGTAACGTACGATATGTAAAATACAAAATGTTCAAGCAAAGACACAAGATTAAAAAAATGAAATAACCAACAGAGAGGGAATATGGATTCCTCTTTTGACAAGAACATCAGTATTTTCATCCGCCTCTCAATAACAATATTGGACTATTGTCATTGAGGTTGACAAAATATCTTTGATAAAAAATAAACCTTAATCTCTAAAAAATATTGACCATTCTTTTACTCCAAACAATGACATTTGTCGAGTCCCTTTCGATAATCGTGTCCCCTTCCAAAATTAATAAAAGGATTCATAGTGTGTGAGAGAGATTTACCAACCCAAACCTCTAATGCACCACTGCGCATCCCAAAAAATAATATTGAATAAATTAAAAATAAAACAAAAATAAACAATACATCTTTGTGTTATAGGCCTTAAAACAAAGCATTTAAAGGCCGTATGGCATTGCATTAAGTCAAGTGTCGGCATATAAAAGCTTTTGTACTTTGTTACTTATAAAAAATGTCGGCAGCTATTTCATGACTGTTTTTTCAGGTATTTTCCCAGTGTTATAAATGAACAGCCCAGATCTTTTATTAGACCTTTAGGGGTGAATGGATTGTCCTCATTGATGCAGTACTGTCCTGTATAAAGTTCAAAGGCAATATATTTTGTACGCCCGTGGCTTCACAATGTGACTCCTCAAATCATGTCAGAAAGCGTAGTTGTGTAGTTATAAAAAAAGTGTAGAATATTCATCTTTATCTCGACAATCATTTATTTTAATAAAAGGTTTTAATATTTAAATTATCTTGTAAAATATTTCTCGTGATCCGAAAAGGAGCTATTGATGAGAGAGAGCACACACACATGTATAAAAACTTTATATAAGGTGCCAACCTTATTCTACTGAAATTAGGTACATCTCAAAAATCATCTTGAAGAGAATGTT